GAAAAGCTATTACATAGCTTTACTAGGATTTCACACCTATCATTCCATACCGAATATTGATAGTGAAAAGTTCTACTACTACGAGAACGATAATCGTGAAGTGCTGAAAGAGATTCAGTTTCCGACCGGCTGTTATGAGATAGAAAATATTGAGGATTACATTCGGAGACAAATTCAAGAAGCTGATGCAGATTTCACTTTGAAGCCCAACAACAATACTTTGAAGTGTGAAATCTATAGTCGACAACATACCATCAGTTTTGAGGAAGATAACAGCTTTGGTGAGTTGTTGGGATTTTCGAAGAGGATCTTGGAACCTGGCCGAGTTCACTGTTCAGATCGTCCTGTGAACATTCTGAAAGTATCAAGCCTACATTTCGATTGCAACATCACTGAAGGGTCGTTTTATGCAGACAGGCCTGCTCACACTATATTAAGCTTCCCCATCACCATAGATCCTGGTTACGCTATCAACGAACGTCCAAATACCCCTCTCTATTTACCTGTGAGAAGAAGCCTGAGAGACATCACTAACATTACCGTTAGAGTGCTGGATCAGGACCTAAGACCTGTTAATTTTCGAGGAGAAAAGGGCACCCTACACTTGGACTTGCAAGAACGTTGAATGGGTCTAGTAGTTGATAATAAAAGATTAACCACAAACTCCTCAGTATCAACGGGACCTCCGAAGAGACAGGAGCTCACTCCAGAAAACGTTCTCTTTCTGCAAGCAATCAGATTACGAGTGAAAAATGAACAAGCGCAAGTATATTCGTTCGGAAGAATCAACAGCACCAACATTCAACCACACAAACCCAATTTTTGATCTGTATCGTCGGCCCAGATATGATGAAACCATTCGAAAAGAAGAATATCGCTCCTACATCCCATACGTAAAATCCTTCAATAACAATGATATGGTGGAAATCAACATAAATCAAGCAGACACATTTTTTGCAATGCATGAGTCTTTGCTGGAAATCAAAGCAACGTTGAATGTCCCAACTGTGGAGCATTTCTATTCGATTCTTGCAGTTATGTGCAGAGTGCAAGAGAGATAAAAGTAGTCAGAGATCCAGGGATCGTGAGTAGTGTGCGAGGATTCATGTGCTATAAACCTGATGATTCCAAACACTTATCCACAGCGGGATGGACGTATCCTGATAAACCGCTTTTGGATGCAATTGACAAGACATTCAGTTTGTTGATACCACTAAAGCACCTTTTCAACGTTTTCAATGACTACACCTCAATCACCTATGGAAAACAAACAATCCGACTGATTCGAGCTCGTAATGATAACGATTGCGTGATAGTACAGGAACTCCCCAATGGACCTACAACCACTACTACTACAGTTGAAGTACAAATACATAGTGTAGTGCTAAAAGTGAAGCACGTATTTCCGAACGATGAAATTAAAATTACAACTGATGCAACCCATAAAAACTGATACACCTATACTGATTCCATTCAGGAAATGGGACCTCAGCCAATTACAAACGGCGCAAAAAGTGAAATTTGGGCAGTCAAAACGAGCGCTTCGGTGGAACGTCCTCGGTACGTTATTGTGTGCTTCCAGAAATCTAAACGTGACAATGCAGAAGCTGATGCTACCCACTTTGATAACACGAGCATAGTTAGTATCAGATTAGCCCTTAATGGTGAATATTGGCCTAATGAGAGAATGCAGCTGGATTTCGCTAAACAAGACTACACCCTTGCTTACTACAACTATACCAGGTTCTACTCGAGCTATTCACATTCGACGGAGGTTCACCCAATCTTGGATTATGGGGAATTCAAACAGCATGCATTTTTTGTGATTGATTGCTCGAGGCAGGAAGAGACCATGAAATCATCGACAGTTAATATAAAGCTTGAAATCGAAGCCGATAAAGGATTTCCTGCTGACACCAAAGCCTATTGCATCATCGTACATGACTGTCTGCTAGAGTACTTCCCTCTAACGGAAGTCGTCAGAACCTTGATTTGAGTATAAATACCAACTGCAAACTGCTCGAGCTCGCATTCGATCGTCAGCCGTCATGAGGATCGCACTTGTCGACATTCAAGGCTTCACAGTGTTTTCCACCCGAAAGAGCTGATCATTCAAATTGGCCGCCAGAGATCCAACTTCCTATTCAAACCGCCTGCACCGTTTGCTACCATTAGTGGACGTCACTTGTCATCTGTCACTTGTCATCTGTCAATTGTCATCTGTCACTTGTCATCTGTCACTTGTCATCTGTCACGTGTCATCTGTCACTTCCGGTGGCCATCTTGTCATCTGTCACTTGTTATTTGTCGTCTGTCACTTGTCATCTGTCACGTGTCATCTGTCACTTGTCATCTGTCACTTCCGGCGGCCATCTTGTGACGTCACTTCCGTGCAGCCAACACCTTCTACCACAGGAACGGTTGTGACGTCACTTCCGGCGGCGGCCATCTTGTGTTCGTGCATACGTAGGTACACTACTAATTTCAATGCAAATCAAAATTCACAAAGTATACTAATGTTACTTACACAAATTTCAGGTCCATATTTTCAATCTGACGTAATAAGCCAAATATTTGCACGATCACTGACACTTAAACCTTTATCAAAATACACAATTACTCGATGAACCGGTTCTTAGAACCTTACTGAGCGATAAGATCTATCATGTGTTAAAAGAAAACATTCCACTAGCATTTCCCTCCACTCGAAAGGGCGTTCCTTCCGATGGATCCATATGGTGCCGGTAGGCGCTAATGGGTTAATTACAGTTGTTAATCTGTGACTAAGAGATTCTAGGAAAATTTCGTGAATCGTATATTATTGTTAATAAATAAACGCGATACGCGAGGAATAGATATTTTTTTATTTCTAATTATTCATCGCGAAGAAGGAAAGATTTGTATTTAGTGCAACATTTTTTTTATAAAATTCTTCGAAAAAAATTTTGAAAAAATATTTTTGAAAAATTTTTTTTTGAATTTTTTTTTTGGAATTTGTTTGATATTGATAAAGTAAAAAATTAAAAATTAAATTGGTGACTTGCTAATTTTTTGATGAACTTTTGATTTGAAAAAGACATTATAATAAAATCGAAATTTGAAATTGTTGAATATGAATTTGGAAATCGATAAAAGTGAGGTGTTACTTACTCGTCAGGTTAACAGGGCAATTCGTCCTAAAAATATCTTTGATCTAGTTTAAAACTAACGACATTTGAGTAAAATACGTTACAAACAAATTAAAATGTGTTTCCCAAAAGGGGAAAAAATATGGATCACATTTTGTTAGGCATTCATTGTCACTGCGACATGTCGTGTTGAAGTGAACTTGATGAGTGACGAACCTTGATTTAATGGTCATTGAACTTACTGAACTAATGGAGGCAAATTTGAAGTTGACATGCATGACATGACATCCAAGACATGACATGTGTCAAAGAAAAGTCAAGAATGTTTATTATGAAATATTAGTGGAGATAAACATTATGAAATCGGGAAGAAATAACCAAGTCCCTAAGGAGCGAATGTTTTGTTGGTTTAATGAGAACCTAACTAACATGTCACTCAATAGTGTGAGTTCTCATTAGACTTTTCACTTCCTTTGCAGTTGGAGGCTCGAGTTTTCACAAAGATTTCTGAGAATAACTTGTCACAAACCGGATTCTCAATCCTTTTTTGTGTTAATAGGTTGTCAGACAGTTGAATTTGTTCAACTTTTGATTACATTTGGAATAACTCATGTGAGCTCTCATTAGGCTCAACTGGGTTTCCTTGGTGTATTCACTTGTTGAATTGTTGCATTTGGATAAACCAAACTATTGAGTGACATGTTAGTTAGGTTTTCATTGGACCAACAAAACATTCGCTTTGGCTATTTCTTCCCGATTTCATAATATTTATCTTTACTAATATTTCATAATGAACATTCTTGACTTTTCTTTGACACATGTCATGTCTTGGATGTCATGTCATGCATGTCAACTTCAAATTTGCCTCCATTAGTTCAGTAAGTTCAATGACAATTGAATCAAGGTCCGTCACTCATCAAGTTCACTTCAACACGACATGTCGCAGCGACAATGGCTGCTTAACAAAATGTAATCCATATTTTACCCCTTTCTGAGAAACACATTTCAATTTGTTCGTAAGGTATTTTACTTAAATGTCGTCAGTTTAAAACTGGACCAAAGATATTTTTGTGACAAATTTCCCTGTTAACCTGACGAGTAAGTAACCTCACTTTTATGGATTTCCAAATTCATATTCAACAATTTCAAATTTCGATTTTATTATAATGTCTATTTCAAATCAAAAGTTCATCAAAAAAGTAGCAAGCTACCATTCAAATAAAGGAAATAATGCCGTTCAAAATTTTTTTAAACATGTATTTTCATTCTTCAATTTATGTGAACTTCGTGATTTGAGTTATTTCAATGGAATATGTAACCATATGGTAACGATATGTAAAATCGAAAAAGATATAATTATCAACATAAAACTAGGTACTGTAATTGTTATACAACACAGATTCAGAATACGCTGTGAAAGTATAGTAATTTTTCAGGCCATCATGATGTCTTGCCCGTTAAGGGAAATGAAAAATTGTTGAGTCATATGGTCACTCGACCCGATAAAGGGTTGAAAAAGTATATTGAAAACCGAACAAAACTATGTATACTGAACACTGTTTCTCAGATGAAAATTTATTGGCACACAAGAAGTTCTAACAATGCATCAATAATAATCGAATCCTAACCCCATTTGCATCGATCACCTCAATAGGTGTCAAAAGGTGGCTTTCCGTATGTGGAATAGAGCGACGACCAATAATCCATGTTAGCCTTGTTGGGATTAACGACGTATGTCAACTCCGCACCGATGTCCAAGCAAACTAGCTGGTAGCCGATCTGATTTTGGCCGTTCGGATTTTGTCCGTTCGGATTTTGGCCGTTCGGATTTTGGCCGTTCGGATTTTGGCCGTTTGGATTTTGGCCGTTCGGATTTTGGCCGTTCGGATTTTGGCCGTTCGGGTTTTGGTCGTTCGGGAGCCACGTGAAGCTGCCCAAAAGAGCATCTGGATGGGGTGTGGGCTCCCCCTCCTTGGCAAAGTTGGTCCACATTCTCACGACCCGCGATCTGACTCGGCGGTCTAATTCTGTTCCATTGTAGCCGAAATACAAAAGGTAGCCTAGGTCCTCGGTGTGCCCGACACCTGTGAAAGGTAAATGCTCATAAGATCAAAAAATTACACATCTGAAGGTATAAAAGTCAACGAAAATATGATAACATCTGCAATGCTGTAGCCCACTTTTCTCAACTCCCAAACAGTTATCGAAGAAAATAAAAAAATAAGTTACATGTGTGCTAACGGCAGCTTTTTATCAGAGAGCAGATAACTGAGTTCGGAGTGTTTAATGGAAAATTCAAGTATGGGGGGCGCCACTCAATTCACTCAAAAAATATATGTTAAATAGAGAAATTGAAACAACCCTAACATGGTCTACTCTCATTGGTAGGAACGTGTTCGTCAACTCCACATCTCTGAAAGGCGTAAGGAAACCAGCTGAAAATGAAAGAAGAATGTTCGACATCTTCTTCGTCGATTCGACACTGCTCCTGACGACTGTGCTACGATGATAGCCATCCATGGCAAGTGACAGCGTTGACCGTGAGTAAGTGACAGCGTTAATACTGACGTGCGGAAGGAATTCCTAACCTATCTTTTCAACCAATAAAATCAACATACCAGAAAAACTACGAATCATTCGATGAATTATACCCAAATAATCCTAAAAATGAACAATCAATTGTTCACCTCATCACAGCTGATGGAGAACACTACAGGTAAGTCAACAGCTTTCCATTAGCAACAACAATTATTGAATCAGACAAGCATAGGACTCATATGAAAATATAGAATACTAATTTACTTTCTTCATTTCCAGAACCTGTTTACTTGGATCAGCACAGCTAGAGGCTTTCTTCACTTCCTAGTTCCTACAGGTGTACTGAACATATGAAGAATTGTGATATTTGGTAAAATGATCTTAGAAAAATGTGTATGAGTGTTTTACCTATCAATAAATGTTTCATCTTGTGAGAGATATTCATTGATCTTCTAACTTAGTGCTCTCTGAAAGTATGCTTTCTTGATAATAATATTATTTGAAAGTTCACTTAGGATTTTATGAAAACAAAAAAATAAGAAATCTATAGTCAGCAAATTTTAACGCTACAATGCATGCTAGTGAAATTTTCAACGACTTCTTTATTAATATAGCTTCTAATCTAGTTGGCGGTACTCCTGAGAATGTTAATTTTGATAGTGTTAAAGAATGTTGTTATTCTATTTTCTTGGGTGATGTAACTATAAAAATGAAGTTCTAGAAGTAATCAATGGCTTGAAGAATAAAACTTCATCTGGAGACGACGGTATAATAAGTAATGTAACATTAAAAAGTATCAGCGAATATATAGTAGAACCTATTACGTTTATAATAAAAGAGTCATTCAAACATGGAGTCTGTCCAGAAAAACTGAAAATCGCAGTGGTGAAACCGTTATTTTGAAAAGGAGATCCACTCATGTTAAAAAATTATAGACCCCTTATTAAGTTTGCTATCCAGTTTTGCAAAATTATTTGGAATACTGATGTGCAGAAGATTGATCCCTTTTCTGAACTTGAATAATATTGTCCTGAGAAATCAACATGGTTTCAAAAATATAAATCAACAACAACAGCAATTTTCAGTTTTCTAGCAAAATCGCTTGAATATTTAGATGACGGATACCTATATTGCCCATGGTATATTTTCGGACTTATCAAGGGCTTTTGATTGTGTAAACCATTGTATTATCGAACGAAAATTGGAGAAAATGGGTTATCGGAATATTTTTTTTCATATTCTGGTTTCCAAGAAAAGGGATATTCTACAATGTTCAGAGAACATCGTGAGAACTAATAAGGAAAATGAGGTATATTAATAAGGGTTCTTCTTGAATTACTGGAGGAACACCTTCCTTGGCAATGTGTTCCAGAGCCTCGCTGTTCGTTAGATAAACGAGTCTTTGGAAGGAGATGTTCTGCAGGTCTCCAAAGTGGCCACGAAGGGATGCGAAGCCTCAACTCGACGGGTTAATCCCGCGGGGACTGCCAAGGGGAGATCAATTGTTTATATTTCAGGAGAGCATCCTCCATTAAGATATCTATGAAATAGAGCCAGATCGTCAACTTTTCTACGGTGTTCCAGAGAAGTGAGTGAGTTTGTGAGCGAGGCACCATCCACGAGACAAATTGACCTTTTTTGGACAAAATCCAACAGTTTCAGGGTATGTTACGGTGCTGCTTTCCAAATATGGGAACAGTATTTCAGGACTGGTCGGATCTGTGCCTTATAGATCATAAGCAGCTGACTGGAAGTGAAATAGCTCCTGGCTCGAAACAGAAAACCAAGTTTTTGGAATGCACGATCTCACGAAATTTTTTCAAGAAAGGTTATTGCTGATAGTAATACCAAGCATTGAGATGGATGTCTTCAAAGATATGGTTACTCCTGACAAGCTCAGGTTGGGTACAGTGAGATCCTCTCTTCTAGAGAAAAGGCATGCTTGTGTTTTGTTTGCATTGAAATCTACCAAGTTATTAGATCTTCATTCGAGAATTGTTGCCAGGTCCATATTTATGTTGTCAACATTTCTCCCTCGTTCGTTTCTGATTTGCCTGGCTGGTATTGGAGCCTGGAAGAGAACTCGGTATGTAGGGTTCTATCATCCGCGAAGCTGTGTACTGAACATGAAGTTGCTTTCAACAAATCGTTGATATGGAGTAGAATTGCACACAAATGGTTTACATCTCATCTGACCAATCTTAAACAGAGAGTGAGCATCAGATATATTTCTGTGGATTGCAAATCAGAAGAAAAAATATCACAATAGGCGTTCCACAGGGAAACGTCCTTGGTCCTGTGCTATATCTATTGTGCACCAATGATTCACCAAGTATTATATTTGATACATCTACTTTTTCAACAAATAACGCGGATGACACAACTATCTGAGTTGCTGATGAAGATTATGATAATCTCAAACGAAAGACAGTTGATATTACTGCAGACATTGCAGGGTGGCTCAAAAATAACAACTTGTTACTGAACACACAAAAATCAAACTGTTTACTGTGTAGACATAACAGAAATAATATTTTGTATCCAAACGAAATCAATTTTCAGAAAGTGGACGTTTCTTACTGTGAGTCAACGAAATTTTTAGGTGTCACAGTAGATGTTCATTTGTGCTGGACATCAGATCATATTATACTGGTACTCTGTGGAGAACTAAGCAGTATTTGTTTTTCGCTTGAAGAACTCAGGAAAGTTGTACACCGCAACATTCAATTAACAGCTTATTACGGTCATTTTAATTCCATAATGAATTACATACATGCATTTTATTTTGGGAGGATCACAGAGTCAAGATGTCTTCATGGTCCAAAAGAGGGCAGTTGAGGCAGCTAATTTTAGACACCCTAGTTCGCATAAATTCGCACATTGAATTTTTTTTGCATGATGTTAGGCTATCCGACAGACTTGCGCTAACAGTGTGGTGCTCGAAAAACCCAGGAATTATTCGACTAATTCCGGTTTTTAGCGCAAAAATCTTATAAGATGGCTTCCTAAAGAAAAAGTCACATATACATTTTGTGAAGTTAGATTGATGCCCTACATTTTGAGTCTGATTTCATTTCTCGAGGTCTGATACATCCCGAGATACAGGACCTCAAAAATTGACTTTTTTTCAAAAATTTTATAATTGTAGTTTTGGCCCTCTTCTGAGCAAAATATCGGCTCTAATGCTCATCCTACAAGAAAAGCTATAATAAATCTAGTTGTAGTGTATTTATATAGCTTCAATTTGAACCCGTGAAAAAGCATGTAGGTCCAATAGCAATATTGTTATCCTTAAAAAACACTACAGTTGAAAATTTTATTTTTTCAGAAATGGAGCTTGACGATTAAATTTTTTGTACCAACATATTTTAAAGAAGCGAAATGAAACAACCAATGTATATCGATACCTGATATATTGTTGAGTGATGATTAATACATTTGAATCATGTGAATGTTCAATGGAAAGGTGGGCAGGATTAACATCTTTTTTTGGAGGGACCAGGTTCTTCACTGCTGATCGAGGAGGGCAATCGATGAGAGCCGGGTCATCGATATCGGCCTCATCGTTGGAATCCTCCAGTTCAATGGCCGGTTTGTTGTTCTGGCATGATTTGCCTCGGCATGTTGAGCACAGTCCTGAGCACACGAGACCAGCTTTCCTGCAAGTGCACCCACCCATGCAGCCTTTCTTACACTTACAGGAAATCAGTTTGAGGAGCGTGAGTGAAGCTGATTGAGCAGTATTTAGGATTCTCAACAAGCCCTGCTCGTTTTTCGTCCATTTCCATGCAGTTGGCTCCTTGTCCACCCCCAACCACGTCTGCACCTGGTGGTATGTGCGGTACGAATGTTGGGCCGCTGCTTCTTCGATTGGGAGTAGACGAGCCAGGTTCACCTTCCCGTTGGCAGCTGAACGGACAAAGAGCTTGTACCGGAGGGCGTTGAGTTTGTCGCCTTCCTTTCCTCCGTAGAGAGCAACCAAGCAGCTCGTGCTAGCTAGGGCAACCTCTTCGTGAGTGGCATCAGGCTTGAGGAATGTGGTAGCTATGTTCATCAGGGCAATATCTTTCTCGAAGGCACTTAGCATTTTGTTCTTCCCTTGCCAGAAAAGAGAAGAGGTAGTCTCGCAACCAGAAAATGCTTGGAGAAACAACTCCAATCCTGATGGGTACGGAACTTCCGTGCGGTTGAACGACTTGGTGGAAAATTGTAAAGGCCCACAGTCGCTCCTGCCTTTTTTTTGAATAACACGTTTTTCACACAGGAGCCCAAGCCACTGAGGAGAACGAGCAGATCTACATCCTCCCCAATTATAAAAACTCTTTCATTGTACTCACTCTTTTCCAAAGCAGTTCTTACGATGGTGGAGTCTGCATCTTCTTGATGAAATGAATGCTTTTTACTTTCAAAGGTATGATACAGGGTTGGTGAAATTTGCTTTTAGTGCAGTAAAGTCAAATATAATATATTTTCCGAACAACTTGTGGAAGAAATTATGAGTGTTCGATCTGCCCGCCATATTTATTCAAATATATTTCATTTAGTTCATATATTTTCATTTATATTTCATATCTTTCATATTTAGAATAGGCTTGTAAAGTTTCGGAGCATCGGCTGGGGATAGTCCTGCACGATTCGCTGTTGCGTTCCAATTAACAGTGCTGCTCCTAAAGTGGCGCATGGAGTTAGTAACAAAGCCTACACAGAACACGCAGAAAGATATGATGATGTGGTTGTGAGCATCAGAGAAGAAGTAGGACGGTGTATGTAGGTGGGTGTGGAAAACTATACCAGCTGAGCGTGAGAGCGGGCCAGCTGCTTAAGTAGACCTCGGTCTCGGGGGTTAACGATGATAGTTAGCAGGCCTGCCACTGCGCATATGGTAGTGAGTACATTACTAGCCTACAAAACACAGCTGAAAAACTCTGAAAAGAGAGCTGATGGGCGGTGCCTGAAAAGGATGTTAGCCAGCTCTCTTGAGCGAACCACATCAGTCATTGAAAACACTTGGGGTTTGCAAAAAGGTCCCATTGGGGACTAGTTGCTGACGTGGAAACGTCCCCCACCAGTACCAGTACCAGTAGAATAGGCTGGTACAGCAAATTTAATGTCAGGATCCATTTCTCAAACAATACAATTTTTAACTGTAGTGGTTTTTTGAAGATAACTTCGGTGCTATGAGGCCTACATGCTTGGTTGTGAGCTGGAATTAAAGCTATATGAATACACTACAACTTGATTCCTCATAACTTTCCCCGTAGGATGAGTATTAGAGCCGATATTTTGCTCAGAAGAGGGCCAAAAGTACAATTTTCAACTTTTTGAAAAAAAATCCAACTTTTGAGGTCCTGTATCTCTGGATTCATCAGACCTAAAGGAATGAAATTAGACTCAAATTGTAGGGAATTCATCCAGCTTTAAGAAAGGTTGATATGAGTGTTTCTTCAGGAAGCCGCCTTATAGGACTTTAAGGCTGAAAACCAAAATTACCCGACAAATTTCGAGGTTTTTTGATCACCACGCTTTTAGCGCAAGTCTTCCGAAGCTGCAAACTTGGTTTTATACTATTGGTACATAGCCTGACAATATGCAAAAAACAATTGGAATGTGCGAATCAATGCGAACTACATTTTTTTGTCTAGGGTCAGCGACCTAAGTTAGGATGATTTCAAACTGACGAAACCCGCAGGCAGTGGACTTGCTCTAGCCGGCACGACCTGGCCACAGATTAACAAACCTTTTGGTAATCTGTGACCTGGCCAAGGCCAGCGTGGGGATCTAGGAGGGGGTGGAGGTTGAGAGATTATTTTGGGGTAATCGGGAAAGAAAAGCACTCTCTGGCGATAGAAAATAAGAAGGGAATCTCATATGAGTCAAGCTTCTGCAAGACTCAGAATAAGCGTTTTATACTCTTCAAGTGAAAAACGCTGTTATTGAGATTTTTGTTGGGTGACCACTAATTCATGAGTATACGTTACTCATATTGCACCTTATCAATACCTTTCTGGAAACTGGTTGAATACCTGAAAGGATGAAAAGTAGTACTATTGTTCCGATACCTAAAATTCCTCATACGATTGAAGCTAACGAATTCAGACCAATCAACACTTTACCACCAATTGAGAAGGTTCTAGAAATAGCAATATATAATCAACTAATTGAATATAGTGAAAAAACGACATTTTAATCAATAACCAATCAGGATTTCGCCGAATGTACTCGTGTGAATCATCAGTTCAACTATCCCTAAGTAAATTCAAAACTGACCTGGATAGTAATAAGTTTGTTGTGGCTGTGTTCCTTGACCTCAAAAGAGCATTTGAGACTATCGATAGGACTATATACAGGGTGTTCCATAATTGAATGCTGATCCTAAAGGGCGATGATCCTTGGATGATTTTGAGGAGAGAAGTTCATATCAACATATGTCCTGAACCTCTTAGTTTTTGAGCTACAAGTTGTTGAAATCAGAGGCGTAGGTACAGCGTTTTTTTAAACTAAACATTCAATATCAGGTCTACGAGGACATCACTGGTAAAAGTTAAAGTTTGATTTTCGTCCCAAAACAAAATGTGTTTCCACTTATAGTGGGTGTCTACTGAATTACCAAAAACAATATATACAAGAACTGAAGGAACAACATTCTTTGGTTTTTATTTTTTTACGCGAAAACGGTACGTTGTATGAAAGTAAGTCTAGGAACCAAATTTTCTCCAAAATGAATAAGGATTGAAAAAAAAAATCTGGTTCTCAGAAAATCAGTGGCGTACAATTTTTTTCTTCAAAAATTGTCAGTTCAAACCCCGTACGGACGCCACTGGTGAGAATTTTTGAATATCTTTCACGTAAAAAAATGCTCCTCAATGATGAAAAGGCGTATACAAAATATCATAACAATATCTAAGAGTGATAAAAAATTATCATTTTTTTCTTGAAATTTCATCACCCTGTAGCTCAATAACTAAGAGGTTTAGGACATATGTTGATATGAACTTTTCTCTTTGAAATCATTCAAGGATTATCGCCCTTGAGGATCAGCATCCAATTATGAAACACCCTGTATATTACTAGCAAAATTGAATAGATATGGAATAGAGGGCACAGTATACAATTGGTTGTATAATAATTTGACCAACAGAAAACAACGGGTAAGAGTGAAAGATATATCCTCTTGTGAAATAGAAAATGATGTTGGAGTTCTCCAGGGTATTATTCTGGGTCCCCTTCTATTCATACTATATTTAAATGACATGCCATTGTTTGTTGCATGTGAATTCATGAACTTTTCTGTGGATGATACACTATTGGCATGCAGTGATGAGAACCTGGAAATGGCTATACACAAAATGAATACTACTTTAGCAAGTGTCAACAAGTACTTGAAAATGAATAAACTCAAGTTGAATGTATTGAAAACGAAAGCAATGATAATCATCACCAAATATAAATACAGCCAAATAAACTCAAAAAAATATCAACCTGAACATTGATGATGAAAGAATTGAAGTAGTTAAAACAACTAAATATCTGGGATTTCAGGTAGATAACACTTTATCGTTTGATGAACATTTTGAGTATATTCATGAGAAAATTTCAAAGAAATTATACTTTTTCTCCAGAATTTCCAATAATCTTTCAACAGAGTCAAGAATCACAGTTTACAAGTCAATTGTTCAGCCACACTTTGACTACTGTTCATCTATCCTATATCTATTCAATCAGAATAAATTGTCTCAACTCCAAAAACTTCAGAATCGTAGTATGAATATCATTTTGAAATGCGGTAGAGATACTCCAATTACTATTATGCTCAATGTTTTGAATTGGCAATCTGTTTCTCAAAGACTGTTTTATTTCACAATGATATTCATATATAAAATATTGAACAATTTAGGACCACCTTATTTCAAACAGTACATTGTCTTCCATCATGATATTCACCACCACTTCACTCGAATAATAATAATTTATATATAAATAGAACAAATCACAAGCGCACTATGATCTCTTTATTTTTCAAGGGTTTTGATCAATTCAACAGATTACCAAATGCAATTAAGAATAGCCCATCTTTGAACATTTTCAAAAACGAACTGTAGAAATTTATGTCTAATGTACATATATGATATTTATTCATTATGTTTACTACGTGTAACTACAATTTTTGTTTTGATATATTATTATGCTTGTGTTCAACTAACTTCATAATGTATTCATCCAATGTTTGTCATATATTTCAAATCATTTTAATATGTACCACATACCTATTTTACTTTATATTTTCTAGCTTGTTTGTTACTAGGATATTCCTATTTCGATAAGGAACTATCTATCTATCCAACAAAGTGAGGCTGAACTCGCCAACATCCTTTTCATTGTTATCAAACTATTCTTGATTTGCTGATATCTCGCCGATACAAACTACATAATTTTCGATACGAATACGAGTAACTGATTTCATCCTGATGGAGATGCGTACCAAGGGATAGCGCTGATTATAATATTTCATTAGAGGTCAGTGGTGATTATCACACCATGTTCGAGGAAACTTTTTTTTCTACAAACGCTTAACAAAGTAGCTTTTGACGCTTTAAAATTCCAGCACAAAGTTGCCGTTTTTCCAGAAATCTCATTCTTTGACAGCATTTGCGCTCGTGAGGGGAAATATTGAAAAAACGCTCGCACATCTCTGTAACCTATACTTATCTATTCTTGAAAACCCCCAATTCTTTCATGATGGAAAATAGTGACAGTGAATCATCAAACACACCTCCTGATATAGCAGGAAGCGCAAGAGTTTGAATCTCTTACCGGAGAAATCAAGGTAGAAATATGAATTAAAATATGATACATTCATAAATTGGTGCCACTCCAAAATGGTGAATATGTATTCAGAAAACGTTTTACTGGCTTATTTTGGTAAAAAATCAAAGACTTTGAAGTCATGAACTCATTGGTCTATATATTCTGGCTTGTCAGTTATTTCAATTTTTCTATTTTTGTTTCCTTTGGACATATGGGATAATATGGATGAGAACTTTTTCAACTATTTCAATCACTTTTCAGGGCAGTTATTTCCAAAAGCTGCGTTAGTAGAAAAAAGCTTGTGTGTATTTCGAGCACAAAGTGTTATTGCCGCTCTCGAGCGGCAATCTATCACTTTGCGCTCTAAATACACAAATAGCTATTACGTGTCATCAATCTATTTGAACGTATTTTTTACGTCATTTCGACGTCAGTCCGACGTCACAGTTTGGTGAGTGAATGACGTCAATAAACGTGAGTAATATGACGGCATTGGGCTGTGACTTATTCACGTCATTTATCACGTCACACGACGTCAACTCCTGAAGTCACCTTGGTCATTCAAATGACGAAAAAAGACGTCACTGAAACATCATCTGGTTGCCGGGGGTTATCAAGAAAAAAATAATGTGATAATACACTCACCATCAGCGGGTCTATCTGTGATTCCGAAAAGACCTCCTTGGTATTAGAATCTGTAGAAGTATACATTGGATTTCCTTGAGTACAATCGGATCGCTTCCTGGATGGGTCTCTCAAATTGGTCATCACTAATGAACTAAACATGAATGAATACAATAATGAATACAGGGTGCAACATAAGTACGAAATATTAGAATGTAAAAAAGTCTAGGTGCATAAACTTGTGTCAGAAAATGTTTCGTTTTGGAAATATAGGGTGTCATCATCATCATCATATCATATGGGGGATTGGACCCATATGATGTCCTTAAAAGATTTCAACCACCTCGGCGAAAAAAAAAAATATCAAAGTTGATCCTTTTGCCGATATAACTTTCAAAGAAGCTCGTGATGCAAGAAATAGTAAACGGAAAGAATCTCAAAGTATTCCGGATTAAAGAAAGTTAGGTTCTATTGCAATAGATAAGAAATATCATAAAAATGGCCAAACTATGGAATGTAAATGAGTCAGATGGATTGCAAAAAAGATTTTTCCCTATAGCTTCTTATGAATTAGCTTGAAGGGGAGGAGAAGCTGTGAACTGTGAAATATACTATTTCAAAGAAGAGAAAAATCAGGATGGAACTTCTACAGGTAGAATAGAATATAATACAATATTTTCTAAGACGGCACAAGGTGGGTCAAAAAGATTGGCAGACAGCAAATGGATAACAAAAAATCAAATCGATGAAACTATTTGCCCAATGAGGTTATTGAAATTACTTTCAGAAAGAAAAAACGAAAACATAACATCTGAACGCCTTTTTTAACTCCAAACCCTTTTTGGAGGCACAAAAATTCTAAAGGTTGGTTTAAAAATGTTCCACTGGGAATTAACATGATATCTCCTCGGACCAGAATTTCAGCAACAAGAATTGGCCTTGACACCACAACTAATAAAATTACCAATCATTCAAACCGTGCTAGTACAGTTACACAGTTAGCCAAAGCAGGAATAAGTGACCAGCAGCTCATAAAAATGACTGAACATTCTTCTTCAGCATCGATCAAACCCTATTTACAAATTGACCCTGAACATCACGAAAATCTAGTTAGTAAGTCACGATCATCGGATATTACGAAGTGTACGAACGAATATTCGACATGTGTCGAAACCATCAGAGAAGAAAATATAGGAATTTCGACACCAAACCATGATATTTTCAAAAATTGTAGTTTTAATAACTGCTCCTTCAGATAGTTTTTTCAATAAAGTAAATTATTGTTGTTATTTATTTATACATTGTCGTTGATTTATAATGCCAAAAAACACTCGAACTTTTTTTTAATGGATAAATTTCTTTCCTAACTCAAACATTTTCCATCAGTAATTTCGCTCGAAAAACTGACATTAGACAAAATTGCTCGCGTAAATTATCAAAATGAGCCGTTTTAGGAAAATTTCGTCTGAAGTAACCACGAAAATATGAGAAAATCAATTCCGCAAACTACCAAGTACACGAAATCATCAATGAAGGTAATCATCATAGTTATTTATTTGTATATTGTCGTTGATTTATCTTGTCAAAAAACACTCGAACTTTGTTTAATCGGATAAATTTCATAAATTTCCTTACCAACCTAAACATTTTCCATCAGTCATTTCTTCAGAAAAACTGACATCAGACAAAATTGCTCGACTTACGGTCTCACAATTTTTCCAATATTTTATATTATTTACTTATAATTCGCGTTAGTGAGACATTTTGTACGGAAGGCATTCTGTGTAATTTAAATAGTTTGCATATTTGTTGACGGTCTGACACAACAATAATAGAATTCGAATTCCTTTTTGAAGTATCTTCTTCAATTACTAAAGTTTTTGTCACTAATATAATGATGTGGCGCAACTGATAGGGTTATTGCGCGAAGATACGAAGGTCGATGGTTCGAGCCCCTAGGCGACGATATATATTTTTTTAAATTATTTCATGTCACATAAATTCAATTCATTTTGTTTCAATTGAATAGCAATTATTGTATACTTTCTTCTGAGACCAAAACCATCTCCAAGATAATAAAAAAATACTGTTTATCAAAATTGTACATTCCACTTTGTGAATAGCTATAAGTAGGTAGTTGATCATTATGTTCTTCTTCGCAGTTTGAGTTGGAATATACACTCACCGGCAAAAAAAACCGGCCATCAAAAAATTCAGTCAAGTTGTTCGCCCTGTGACTTCTTTAGTTCTTGTCGGATTTTGGTGAAATTTTGATCAAATCGTAGATTCATGTTCCGGAATGTTAACCTGAATATGAATTCCCAAAAAAGCTGATAGCTTGGTCATTATGCAGGGAAAAACAAGAGTTACTCATTTACCCATAACTTCTTAACTCCCTGTGGCTGAAGTGAGTGGTTGAACTCCTCTTCATTATGTCTTGGATTGAAGAGTATTCTTCTCTCATCACAATAGTTTTTGATTCACGTCAATATCTCATTTTTTAGAAAAGATACGAGGGTCTTAAGCAAGTATGGAGTTATTCAAGTTTTATTAACAATAATCAGAACGTAGATACACCTACACAGAAAAACCTTAATTACAGAAAACAAACGAAAAGTAGATCTCCTAGATATATTCAATACCGAGTATGCCCTCCTCGAGCTTGAATTACGGCATTTAATCGCCGTGGCATCGAGTTGATCAGATTACTCAAGCAGTCTTGAGGAATTTCCTCAAATTCTTCTTGAAGGGCGAATCGTAGCTCTTGAAGAGTCTGGCAATGCCGGACGTAGACGAATACGCCTCTGTAGTTGATCCCAAAGATGCTCTATAGGATTGAGATCCGGGCTACATGCTGGCCAGTCAAGCCTTAGAATTCCGACCTCATTCAAATACTCGGTTACAATTCGAGCAACGTGTGGTCTGGCGTTGTCATGCATCAAGACAAAGCCGTCTCCAATAAAATGGGAATATGGGACGACAGCTACTTGTAAAATATCCTCCACATATCTGTGGGCGTTCAGAGCACCATTTTCCACAAATACGAGGTCGGTATGTCCTTCTGTAGAAATGCCTGCCCACGCCATAACTGAACTGAACTGAAAGATACCCGTTCAGAGATAGTATGCAGTCCGCAAATCGCTTGTTTTGTCTTCTCCATACCCTTTCTCGACCATCAGGTGATCGCAAACAAAAACGTGACTCATCGGTGAAGAGAACATCTTTCCATTGTCGAAGTGTCCAATTTGCATGTAACCGTGCAAACTCTAGTCGTGTTCTACGATGCCTAGGTATCAACTGCTGTCCTGTAGCAGGTCTCCTCGATGCCAGACCATATTCTCCAAGCCTCCGCCTGATGGTTCTTTCATCTCGAACAGCGTGCAATTCATGTTGAAGCTGAACAGCTGTTTTGCGAATCCTGAACGTACTAAGCGCAACAAAACGATCATCAACCCTACTTGTTGCGCTTCTTCTTCCGGATCCAGCACGCCTTTCGAATCTGCCAGTCTCCAGAAAACGATTCCAGACATATTGAACTGCAGTTCGAAGTATTCCTAATGTTCGAGAAACATAACGTTGAAGCAAAGCTACCACTTGAGCAACATCCGCAACAGTTAACGCCTTTATTATTACCCCAAAACTGTTGTTTTTCTTTTTAACAACAATAATGACATGCCACCGTGAATCACGAACTAAAACAAAAGGTGCTGATTTGTATTATTGATTAACTGTCAAAATCACTCCAGACAATTGTCCAAGCCTGCTATTTTATTTTAAATAATCGAGGGTGACCAGTATTTTTCTGCCGGTAGGAGTGGAGTGTCAATCGACAGCAATTTTCGAAGGAAAGTATACCAAGAAAACAATGTGGAAATAAGCCATATTAATTTTAAGATGTTTTTTTAAAGTTTTCGATCGATAAGTTTATGTACGTTCCCTCGTATCTTTTCTAAAAAATGAGATATCGACGTGAATCAAAAACTATTGTGATGAGAAAAGAATGCTCTTCAATCCAAGACATAATGAAGAGGACTTCAACCACTCACTTCAGCCACAGGGCGTTAAGAAGTTATGGGTAAATGAGTAACTATTGTTTTTCCCTGTATAATTGACCAAGCTATCAGCTTTTTCAGGAATTCATATTCAGGTTAACATTCCGGAACATGAATCTACGATTTGATCAAAATTTCTCCAAAATCCGACAAGAACTAAAGAAGGTACAGGGTGAACAACTTGACTGAATTTTTTGGTGGCCGGTTTTTTTTGCCGGTGAGTGTACTTAAATTATGTTTCCTATTTCTTATATATATATTGTCTCATTCAATCATGAAATAGTCATACGAATACAACTCGTGATATTATTGTTCCTGGAAATATTCGTCGATTGACATACTCCAGCTTGCTGCTCTAATTTCGCTCATGACATTGATCCAAAACTACTCGCCTACAGCTCATAGTTTTGATAACAATGTCATTCACGAAATTACTAGGCAAAAAGCTGTCGTAACATACACCGAATATTTCCGACAAAATATCATCACTTGTGGTATTACATAATAATATGATAAATCAACTCCTACACGGAAAACGCTTTTTGACGACGACGTGAGTCATTTTGACATCGATAAAAAATGATGTACCTTTCTTATTGCTGATAAACTGCCTGCATTTTTGATCTAGTATTGCTGTCACTCCAATTTCTGTCGTGTAAAGTTTAATTGATTGGTAAGGTTCACGGGTAATATAGCAAGATGAGCCGTTTTTGGAAAATTTCGTCTGAAGAAACCACAGAGATATCATAAAATCGATTCCGCAAACTACCAGTTACACGGGATCATCAATGAAGGTAATCATTATTGTTGTTTATTTGTATATTGTCGTTGATTTACCTTGCCAAAACTGACTGCAAATTCTTTTCAATTGGATAAATTTTCTCACCAGTAGTTATTCCTTCCGAAAAACTGACATTAGACAAAATTTAGCATGTCAGTTCTTCTCCTGAAATTACTGATCGGCAAATGATTTTCGTTTCCAAGAGAAATTCATCCGATGAAAAACAAATCTTTTATGATGCTTTTACTGTTGATAAATCAACTCCTACACAGAAAACGCTATTTGAGGATGACATTAGGTAGTCATTTTGACAGCGATAAA